AAGCATTACAAACATGGAACATTGCTTGACGCTTTTTGACTTGATGCGTTCGGATGCCTATTGCATTGTATCGACATTGTACTGACATTCCAGTGCATTGAAATTCCATTGTATTGACAACAGATCGGTGTAAAAAGTTTTGATCTATGATCAGCTAAACAAAATTGTAAACCAATAATGCATACGATTGAGCGGGCCTGATATGCGAGATGATTCCAAAAAATCATCTGCACTTCTTGGAATATTCTGACAGTTGAGAGAAAAAGATACAATCCTAGTTTTTTTTGGAATACGTCTGAAATTGCCTGAAAACTTGAATAAATGATGAATGGAAAGCATGTCTTATTCGACAGATGTTTAACATTAACGCATGGACACATAAAACAAACTGCTGACATCCACAACTACCAACTTTATGGACAAAAATTCGCGCAAGCTGAATAGCATTTCTAGAATCATTCGAATCGATCATCACAATTTTGATAGGTTTCATTACCACTAACAAATAATGAGATGACATGACTTGAATGAATCGAAACAGAACACAGGAAATCGTAAGAAAATACAATCACATTATATACTTCAAAATGCCCAAAACAATTATAAAGGCATCAGAGGAACGAGAACGCGCAAAAACAACGAAAAAAATGAAGGCCATATAATAAAATATAGAAAAAATTACTAGCGAAAAGTAGAAAGTAAAGGAAATTCCATTTCTCCTCAATTTCAATAAGCAATGGAAATAATGGGGGCAAAACGAACTGCCACAAGAACACAAACATAGTCCTCCTCACTGAAGAAAACTGTGCGAGGTCTTTTCAGTGCTAAAGGAAACTATGCGAGTTCTCTTTTGCATTGAAGAGAACTGTGCGAGTTCTCTTCAGTGCTAAAGAGAATTATGCAAGTTCTCTTCAGCGTCGAAGGGAAATGTGCGAGTTCTGTTCAATGCTAATGAGAAATATGGAAGTTGAGTAATGAAAACAATGCAAGAGGATTTAGCCATATCGCCTCAACTGATTGCTGTTGTACGTAAAAGTATATAATATTTTTGAAGCAGAAATTTTGATCACTCGATTGGTGTAAAGAAATTCACATGTTACCGGGCAAACTTGAGAGTACAGTTACCTTGAAATGGTAACCTCCATTGACCCCATAGTAACGCATTGAATTTGGTCACTAGCGATAGAATTTTTGTGAATGAACGACTTTCCGCTTGTTGTTTATTGACCTTCATGAAAATAGCCATATCTCCTCAGGAAAGCGGGACTGCTGAACAAAATTTATGTTTTCCTAAATGCAGAGGCTTCGCTTGATCGAATGATGGACAGAAATCCATATGTTACTGGGCAAAACTGAGAGTGTAGTAGACTCGAAGTTGGTGACTCTAATGTCATTATAGCAATGTACGCATCGATCAGTAGTGATACATTTTGTCGAAATGTGCACTGCCGAGCTACTTGTGATGTAATTCTTCAAGTAGGCAGGATCGGTCGACAACGTGTATGCATTTCCGAATATAGAGAATCTGAGGAATGCGATGGAACGGAGAAACGACCACACTACTGGACAAGCCTGAGAATACTTATTGTCCGAATGTGGTAACCCTCATATTGTCGCGCTAATGAAAGCTTTGATCAATGAAGTTGCAGCATTAAAAAGATCGCTGTCGAGCGGTTGCGATATCTTTAGAAAATCGACTGTTTCCCTATGGCAAGCGAGATTGCTAGACAACATTGCTAGACAAAGTTGTCTGAAACTGTGGAATCTGGAGAATTTCGTGGTGGAGCGAATGAGACATGTTGCTGAACAAACCTAAGAGTATCGTTAGATTTAAAATGATGATCCTGAAATCACTTGCATACACTGATCAAGGCACATGCAATGTATATGAAGGGCGGCTTAGCTACATGAGATGTGTTCAGAAAATATACCAAAACGTGCGCATACTGAGTGGCAACGATGAGAAGCAGGGTCTCTGCAATATTGCGACGAACCGGTGGTTCGAGTGTTGGTGATCAAATTTCAATAAGATAGTTTAGAAAATTGAAGATATCTGAGTAATTGAGGAGGAAGATGTTTGGGAATAAGGATGTCAGTTGAGAAGGAATGTTATGTTGGTTTTAAAAGAGAGGCACAAACCCGCAATGTGTTGTAATTGCTGATGAACAAATAAATAAATTTGCAATTGTCTGGTTCAGAAGATAATACTTTCTTAACCGTTTAAATCTTATGTATGCCATTCGGCAAGCGACTGTAATTTTCGGTTATTATTCGATTTTAGTTTTTTGTCGGGCGGTTGATCAGGTTGATTTCGTTCAGGTTTTTTTTGTTAACATATCTTCATACTACTTTCAGCTAAAATTTACATAAGACCTCAGCGATTCACTTGATTTGCACAGAAGAGTCTTTCTCAGAATGAGCTTAAGCAAAATTTATGAGCTGTACGATAATAGTGTTTGTCATTTGGATGCTTGCACCACTGTTTGATGTTGGTTGTGTTTTGGGTGGTTGTGTTGAGTATTTTCTTGTTTGGCGGTGATATAATTCATCGGGGGTGACGAATAATCACTTATAAGGCTTTGATTAATTCAGATAATGACGAGCACAGATGATAAGGAAGAACTTTTGGAACGTGCGAAAATTGCTGAAAAGGTTTCTGTTTTCGCATTGCCTTTAACTGTACCTGAGTCCATTTCTTAGTCAGCTCACATGGATTGTAACAAACTAAAATCAAATTTGACAGGAACAGAGTGCTGCACTTTAGATCAACCTTTAAAATCCCAGTAGATTCTTAGAACCTAGATTGCTAAATTGAGTGAAAAGGCCGTATTTGAAGGCAGAGCGTTATGATGATATGGCAGAAACAATGAAGAAGGTGACCGAGAGAGGTGACGAGCTATCAATAGAAGAGCGTAATCTGCTATCAGTGGCGTACAAGAATATCGTCGGAACGAAACGTTCATCATGGCGAGTCATACAGACAATCGAGCAGAAATCAGGAGCAGTCGAGAAGAGGCATCGCATGGCGACAGTGTATCGTGAACAAGTTGAAAAAGAGTTAAACTATATTTGTAACGATATTTTGGTTGGACCTTCATTGTTTGTTCCGTATCGAGTTAATTCCGTCGATTTGTCGTTATTCATATTAATAGCAATCGTATTGGAGCAATGAACAGAGCAGACAGATCGATTTCAGCAATACGGTATTTGAAGATCCTTTTGGCTGAGAAATTATCGCCGCTTTTGATCGATTTCTGCGATTCAATTCAACTTACTTCAATCTTTTCGAATTCCAGTGCTGGCAATTGCTTTACTGGTCTGTTCGTTGCTCGAAGGAGCGCATGGCGCCGGATGATTGAGAGTAATTACCGAGTAAAGGCGTCGTTAATGAGAACTCTCAGAAATCAGTCTAATTCCTTCACTGATGATTGATTCAATTGGTCTAAACTGATAGTGTTATAAGTGTGTCGATGAAGCGCTACTGTAAACAAATTAAGGATTAAGTGACGCGCTTCAGACCATTGGTTATTGAAGGCTGAGAATTTGTTCATTTGTGCCTTCACTAACTCCTCAGTTGATCTATTTGATTCTCATTGCTTGTTAGCATATTCCCTTCTTCGGTTAGTTTTACTACCTGGTGCCACTTTTTATCATTCTTAATGAATTGGTAATGTTAACGGTCGTGAGAGTATGATAGTGCTAGCAATACGGTGAGTGTTGTTAGTAAATACGAAAATAAATTTCTTATGAGTGGGTTTCAGCAACTAATCGAGAAATTTTTGCTACCCAAGGCAAACACCCCAGATTCGAAGGTATTTTATATGAAAATGAAAGGTGATTATTATCGCTATTTGGCTGAAATCTCGAGTGGTGAAGGGAAAACTGGTTGGGATTTCATTTATTATGACATTTATTGCGATTTATTTTTTATTCATTATGACAGTTCTCACGTACGAATAAATACAAATATATGAACACGTATATGTATATGCTGCATATGTGTATGCATTTGCAAGATGTGATTTACTTGGTAATAAAACTGACCAAATGATTTTATCATCGAACCATCCAGAACGACACTTCTCAAAGTCGGCTCATCAATCGCCTTCAGGATTAAGATTGCAGTTGAACCGCGAAACACTGATCTCTATAATTCATGGTCATGATTCTAGAACGTGAAAAGTTTTCGGATCACTTCTGTGAATAACTGCTCATGAATAAATACTATAGAATAGTTCCTCAATGTGGGCAATAGTATCCAATCAGTGGGCAAAAGTGGCTTGAAGATGGGCAAATTTGGCGACAAAGTAGAACCTTCTTTAATATCGCAGTGTTTCCATGTGTATGTCTAAAGCACCTTGCTGCCTTGAGATGGATCGTAATCTCGCCCTTTCATAGTTTTAACATTGTGGTTGGAAACATACCATCGCATACGTATGGGATATTTCACGCAGAATGAGTCACATTTGTTACTATAAATGATCTTTCGTCCAGAAATCAACCGAAAAGATATTTGAGGAGTGGTCGACAAAGCTCAAATTTCCTATCAAGAGGCGATGGATATAGCCAATTCGAAGATGCAACCCACACATCCCGTGAGACTTGGACTGGCACTCAACTTCTCGGTTTTCTACTACGAGATTCTCAGTTCACCCGATAAAGCGTGCCAACTTGCTAAAAAGGTTGTTATATATGGACATTTAGAGAAGTTTGAATAGCTTCAGTTAGTTTATTACGGAGTTGTGTCACAAAATCAACTTACAGGCATTTGATGAAGCAATAGCCGAGCTGGACACGGTCAATGAGGAATCTTATAAAGACAGCACATTGATAATGCAGTTACTACGTGATAACCTAACATTATGGACGTCCGATTCGGCGGCTGACGATCAAGAAGTCATTGAATCACACAAAGCTGAATCTAAGCAACAACCTCAAGCGAATGCTAAATAAAATCGCTATTGTGACAGTATAAAGAAGTCACTTGGCTTTTTAGGACTGATGGAGCCCACTTGAAGGCCTGAACATGAATTTAAAATTAAATCAAACCAAAAATATCAACAAAAAAAGCATAGCTTAGATGGCGCTTGACACTGAAATAAAATCTTCTAGAAACAGTTCCAAATTTACG